TGCACCAAATAGCAACGTAACCATCAACAACTTCTCGATATCCAAAGAAAACTATCAACAATGTCCCCAAGTGAGCAATTCACCAAAAATCCATATTCTATATGCAAGGTAGCAGTAGTACCAATGAGTGGAGGATCTGACTTAATAGACATTAATTGTAACTAAATAGACTTTGACTGCTTGAAGTTTTCAAGAAATTTCATGAGCATAGAAACAAATTTATCTCCACCTGCGCAAAATTTGAGTAGCAAAACTGAACCTTTCACAAGATTGAATGCTGGCAATTTATCACCACACTCATATGTTAAATTAGGAGTATCCAATTCAATATCAATCAAGTCTAAGCACCGTGCATGATAGTGAAAGATTAAAAATAGTTGTCTAAATACTTGAGATATTGTGTGAGATTAAAAATAGCTGGGAAATGTAACAAGCACATCAACTGAGGAGAACCAAACATTCTGGTCTTCAACATGTAATTGATTTTTTTTTAATGTTCTAATATAGTCAAATAGAAATTGGAAAGAAGAAGATACTACTTTTAACAACTTGCTGGGATGATTGTTGCCCATTGTATTGTATTGTTAATTTAAGTGCGATGATTGTTACCTAAATTTTAGTGTATCGTATTGTTATAGCCATTGTTAGTTAACAACAAAAAGTCTCATTTTGGCAACGACCGATTTGGTGTTATTGCGACATTACCTTATATCTATTTCTCATTTTGTCTTTATTTATTATTTAATAATCTTATTTTATCTTTTATCCTATATAGTAGCCCCACCCTATACCCTATTTATCTTATAGGTTTATCCTTATGTGTAACATTATATAACGATAGAAAATGATACAATATATCCAAACATTGTATTTATTGAATTAATACATTACAATACAATATAGTTCACTATGATACATTATTCTGGCTAAGTTTTCCATACTGTCATTTCATCGACTCTAATGTTCATAATTGGATTGAGACCCTCGTCGTGAGTAACATCAAAGAGTTGATTTTAAAAGTAGATGGACATGTTGATAGTTTCAACATCTTGCTTAGCTTGAAGAAATCTTTACTGCTCAAGGACTAAATGTTCTTGATTTATGCAAATTTAAGCATGAATTACCCCAAATCTTGGCATAAAGTTTTCATATTTGCGAAAGTTAAGTCTCTCTGATGTATTTGGATGAGCAATTTGTTCGAGCTTTATGTGCAAACTGCATTGGTATAAAGGATTTTAAGGGTATCTTGTTGTCATGGACTAGCCAATTTGCAAATTGCAGAACCTTTATCGCAACCAGTGTTTTAAAAGGCGGAGGCGTGAGGCAAGGCGTTTTATACAAGAGTACAGGGCGAGGTGTAAGCCCCGAGACATGGGACGTAAGTCTAATGGATCTACGGGGCGTAGTCTCATGTATATAATTTTATTACTAATAAAAGTAAACATTTCAATGATTTATGATTTTTATTTGAGATAAGTATTAATAGTCAATAATGAAGAAAAAAAGTATTATAATTACTATTTGAGAAATATCATTACACCAATAATAAAAACATGATGTAAAGCAAAAAAAGTTAAAAAATAAATTAAAAACGCCCGGCGTACGTTTTTACTCTCAGGACTTACATTTTAATGCTCGGAGCTTACGCCTCAAATTTTAGGACTTACGCCTTATGGATCTATGTCTTTAGATTTCGTCCCAGAGCATTTTTGGTACGTCCCGCCCCAAGACTCGCTCTGGAACTCGCCCCAAAAATGTTTTTGAAAACACTAATTGCAACTGAAGATAGCTTGGCTACTTTGTCTTATTGAATCCCGATGGTTGATATTGTAGCACCGAATCTTGAACATCCTTACATTGAAAGTCATCAATGCTTGAATCAACAAGTAAATAAAATAACTTGTGGCAAAACCTTGAAAACTTTGCACCTCGTTGATATTTGTACTTATCTAGTTACTTTAAATTGCATACAAACTTCATATATAAGTGTGGTGATAAATTGTCAACACTCAAACTTATGAAAGCTTCAGTTTTGCTAGAAGTTGTACTTAAATTGTTCAGGAGAGAGATATTTGTTAATCATTGCTACTCTATGCTCATGAAATTTCTTGGAAACTTCAAGCCATAAAAAATAATAAAAGTTATAACGATGTTACATAGATTCGATAGTTATACCGCAAAACATGAGAATCTAAAACCTTCAAAATTTCAAGTTTTATAAGCCAAACAAACAATTGGGTTAAATTTAATAAAATCATGCATTCTTGAAAAAAAAATTGACCCTTTTTTGCAATAAAAATCATAGAATGAAGAATTACCTAAGCAAAAAAATCAAGAGTTTGAAGTGAAACTCACCAGCAGCTGTCAATAGGGCGGCAACAAACCCTAAAGAAAAAAAAGGGTAAATTTGGAGTAATAATTTGAAGTAGATGAAAGGGTTAAATTTTAAGTTTTGATTAGATCACCAAAATCCAATATTTATTCTAGCTAATCACTTCAGTCCCTCTATTTCATATTATTTGACCTATGTTCACGTAACATACTACTTACAAAAGTTTTATAATTTTTAAAACTTTGTTTTAATTTTAATATAAAATATTTTGATTTAGTTTTTAGACTTTAAGCATACAAGTGGACAAGTGTTTTGCTAAGCAAATTGTCTAATTCCTCTAAAATGATTCTTAAATGTCTAAAATATGTAAAAATGGTGAGGCTTGATGTACTGCTACCCCAACTCTCTACGAAGGATTTCGCAAAGGTTTTGCAAAAAAAATCGTTTGGAAGCTATATCACCAAATATTCATCGGTTAACACACACGAAAAACTAAAAAAATCGCCTAATTTCTATAAAATGGCTCATATATGCCCAAAATATGTGCAAAAAACGGTAAGACTTCACGTGTTGCTCCCCCAACTCCCTTCGGAGGATTCCGTAAAAGTTTTATAAAAAAATCATCTGAAAACATATCACCAAAATATTCATAGGCTAACACGCACAAAAAACTTAGTAAATCGCCTAATTTGTGAAAAATAGCTACTAAATGCCCAAAATATATGCAAAAAATTGTGAGCTTTACGTACTACTCGTACGGAGGGTTCCGTAAAGGTTTTACAAAAAAAATCATTTAAAAGTCATATCACCAAATATTCATGGTCTAACACCTATAAAATCTGAGAAATTTGCATCATTCCTGTAAAATGGCTGTCAAATGCCTAAAATATGTGCAAAAAATGGTGAGGTTCCACGTGCTTTTTCACCAACTCCCTAAGGAGAGTTCCGTAAAGATTTTTCAAAAAAAATCATCCAAAAGTTATATCACTAAAATATTTATGAGCCAGCACACACGAAAATTGAAAAAATCGCCTAATTTGAAAAATATTTCCTAATCGCCTTCTGTGTTGATTAATTTCATAAGAATAATATTTATATATTATTAATTAATATCTTTATGCGAAGCGCCGCTATATCCACTAAGGGTGTGTTTGGTATGAAGGAAAATGTTTTCCATGGAAAATGTTTTCCTAGAAAACAAGTTGATGTTTGACTTATTTTCTCATGTTTGGTTAGTGAGTAGAAAATATTTTCCGGAAAAGAATTTTAGTGTTTGATTTATGAATGAAAAATATTTTTGAGAAATATTTTTTATTTTTACTAGAGTAGAAAATAATTTTTGAAATTGAAAATAGTTTTAAAAAACAAACTTAATAATTTTTTGGGGGTGGGGGGTCGTAGGGGTGGGTGAGGGGGGGTGGGTCGAGGGTAAGGGTGAAAAATTGAAATTTTGAAGTTGAAAATATTTTTGAAAAACAAACTTAAAATTATTTTTTGGGGGTGGGGGTGGGGGGTGGTAGGGGTGCGTGGGTGGGGGTCGAGGGTAGGGGTGAAAAAATGAAATTTTGAAATTGAAAATATTTTTTAAAAACAAACTTGAAATTTCTTATTTTTTTGGGGGAGGGGGGGTGGGGGGTTGAGGGTAAGGTGAAAAAATGAAATTTTGAATTTGTAAATATTTTTTAAAAACAAACTCAATTTTTTTTGGGGGTGGGGGGTGACCGGAGAGGGGGGTGGGTGATCGAGGAACGAGATGAAAAAATAAAAATTTGAAGTTAAAATATTTTTTAAAAACAAACTTAAATTTTTTTCTTTTTGAAGGAGGTTGGGGGCTGATAGGGGGTTGATTGGGGGCGAGGGTAGTGGGTGGGGGTAAAAAAATAAAAAATTGACATTAGAAATATCTTTTAAAAACAATTTTTAATATTTTTATGGGAGGGGGTGGGGTAGGGGTGAAGGTGGGGTAAAAAAATTGAATTTAAAAACAAGCTTTAAATTTTTTTTTTTTTTTTTTTTTTTGGGGGGGGAGGGGGGGGGGTTGGTTGGGGGTGGTTTAAGGGTAGGGACAAAATAAATTGATTTTTTCAACAAAAAAAATAATTGTAATTTGAAGTTGAAAGAGAGTTTTGGAAAATGTTTTCCTTAAGTTTAGAAGGGAAGTCATTTTTCTTAAATTTGAGAAAAATAAGTTGATTTGGAAAACATTTTCCAAAACATTTAGACCAACCAAACATGAGAAAATTGAAAAACATTTTCCAGAAAATGTTTTCCTTCATACCAAACACACCCTAAGTCTAATTAAACAGGCAAGAATACCCAATAAACAATTCTCCCTCTGTCTCATTTTATATGTCACTTTTTTACTTTATTCTTGTATTAAGAAATTATGTAACTTTACTCTTCTACCCTTATTTAATATTTTCTTAAGTCAACTTTATAATAAATTATGAATATATTTTTAAGATTAATTAACTACTCTATCAAGAATATAATAGGCAATATATGATAATTTATACGTAATATTATAAAATAACAAATATTATGATCCAACTATTTATAAAAAAAAATGACTTATAAAATGGAACTGAGCGAGAGTAATGGATGCAAGACAAAGATAGACTATTTTCTTTATTAAATTTTTTTAAAAAAAAGACATTCTTGTTCCATTTTGATATACTAAAAAACAGTAGCTTTGGTTTAATAAAAATTCCAGAAAAATTAATGGATTTTGCTACTCTAATAAATTAAACTTCTTAATTTATTTTTTTCTTGAGTGTTTGTGGCCACTACCGACAGCTACTTCTGAGCTTCACTTCAAGTTTTGATTTTTTGCTGGGTAATGCTTCATTTCAAGAATGCATGAGTTTATCAAAATTGAGTTCTTTTTTTAGCTTTTAGTTAGTTTTATGTTCATTTTAGAGATACCCAGTTGTTGATTTGGCTCATGGAGCTAGAATTTGAAGGTAAAGATTGTGTTTGAGGAGATCAAAGTTGAGCTCTTTCTTGTTTTTGGTTACTTTTTAGGCTCATTTTAGAGATACCCAGTTGTTGTTTTTGGCTCATAGAGCTGGTTCTTGAAGATAAAGATTGTGCTTTAGTTGATAAAAAAGTTTTCTTTTCTTGTTTTTAGTACCTTTTATGCCCATTTTAGAAATACCCTGTTGTTTTTGTTCTTGGAGCTTGATAAATATTGTGCTTGAGTTGATAGAGTTCAGTTTCTATCTTGCTTTTAGTAACTTTTATGTTCATTTTATAGAGATACTTAGTTGTTGTTTTGGTTCTTGGAGCTTGAATTTGAAGCTAATGATTGTGCTTGAGTTGATCAAAGTTAAGTTCTTTTCTTGCTTTTAGTAACATTTATGTTCAAGTTTAAGAGATACCCAATTGTTGTTTTGGCTCATAGAGCTTGAATTTTGAAGCTAAAGATATTGCTTGAGTTGATAAAAAAATTCAGCTTCTTTCTTGCTTTTAGCAACTTTTATGTTCATATTTAAGAGATACCCAGTTGTTGTTTTGGTTCTTGGAGCTTGAATTTAAAGCTAAAGATTGTTCTTGACAGCTCAGTAAAGCTATTTTGTTGGTGGTTAGACCAACTATGTTGTATTGGGTGTTGTCCAATCAAGAATTCTCACTTTTAGAAGATGAAAGTTGCGGAAATGAGGGTGTTGCGATGAATGTGTGGGCGTACTAGGAGAAATAGGATTAGAAATGAGGATATTCGGGACAAGGTGAGAGTGGTTTCGATGGAGGACAAGATGTGGGAAGTGATACTCGGATGGTTCGGACATGTGAAGAGGAGATGTACAGATGCCTCAATGCAAAAGTGTCAGAATTTGGCTATGGGTGGCTTAGGAGAGGTAGAGGTAGGCCAAAGTAGTATTAGAAAGAAATGATTAGACAAAACATGATGCAGTTTTAGCTCACCGAGGACATGACCTTAGACTAGAGGGTTGTGGAGGACATGAATTAGGTTAGAAGGTTATTACTGATTAGATAGTAGTGCGTTGTCTTGCTATCAGTCTATACTAGTAGTCGTAGTACTACTACGGTAGTTTCTTGTCCTTCGATTTCTATTACTATTTGTTGTTTCTTGTACTTCGATTATCGTATTATTTTGTTGTAGTTACTGATCAGAATGTTTTGTTATGCTTTCACTTCTGATTATTCTTTTACTGGACTGTTTTTCCTTGAGCTGAGGGTCTATCGGAAACAACCTCTCTACCTCTAATCTAGGGTACCCCGCATACACTCTACCCTCTCCAAACCCAACTTTGTAGGACTACATTGAATATGTTGTTGTTGTAGTCAAGCTCTTATGTAGTAGATAGTTCAATTTCAGTACATCTTGAATATAGTGTAAAATACATATTTTTCAAAATCCATCTTTATGTAGAGATTGGGCTAGGTTTTGAACCTTAAATCTTTTTCAAGAATATGTATAGTTTAAGTGGAAGGCAGTAGGCGCGACCAAAGCATTGCTTGTGGCTTAAGATTCTGATGTCTACCTCTCCTCTGTGTGTTCATGAATAGTAGATTTTTATGCAGGAAATGATGAAGCAGATTCTTATTGCTATGACGAGCTATTGATTTTGAGCTGAACTTTAAGAATGAAGTACAGCTCGGAGTTTCAATCTGTGTGTCAAATTGATAAAAGGAAATGGATTTTGGTAGTGGTTTTGGTGGCTGTGACTCATTTATTTTGTCAGACCTTGATGCTTCCGTATGGAAATGCTCTTCATTCTCTGTTATCTGAGAGCAATATTCAGCTACCCGAAAAGGTAAGCCTGTCGAGTAAAGAATCTTCTGTTGTTGAATCAACTAAGGTTGGTGAAAGCTTTTCAGGAACGCTTTCAAGCTTTGATGATGTACATATGTTGGCTCATCGCTTGAAAACTGTGGATAACGGTGATGTGAGTGAAGATGGTGAAATCGATGAGAGCGTAAATGAGAAGGATGAGGTAAAACCACATAGCAATCATTCAGTTGTCAAAACCATGGAAAATGACTCTGATTTTGTTGAAGATGCAATTCTTGAGAATGATAATCTATTTGATGAAGTGGTGGACATGGACGAGGAAACTACAATGCAGAAGAACAATGAATCTAGACGGGACCTTTCTTTAGAGCAAGTTGTAAAAACAAATGGTGAACTTTCAGCTGACCCTGAGTTAGATGCAAATAGAAATAGTGTGCTTAATGATACTAAAGCTGCAAGTGTGACTAACTCGTCGTCTGTGGTTGCTTCAAACCATCTAGATAACTTGCCATTGGTTACTATAGGTGAAATAAACTTCATTCGTACTACTAGTAACAACTCTTCAACAGGAGATTTGACTCAACTTCTCCCAAATCATGGCAATCATTCGTTGGTGCAAAGTACAGTCAAAAAGAAGATGAGATGCATGTTGCCGCCAAAAACAATAACTTCAATCTCTCAGATGGAAAGGTTACTAGTTAGGCATCGTGCTCGTTCACGTGCTATGGTATGTTTTTTCTTCTCCTGCTCAATGATTTTGCTTCTGTGTACTGTTGAGTGTTGATGGAATCAACTGTCCTGTATTTTGTTTAAATTGGATTGCAGAGACCTAGGTGGTCCTCGGAACGTGACAAGGAAATTCTGGCTGCTAGGTTACAGATTGAGAATGCTCCACTTCTGAAGAATGATCGAGAACTTTATGCTCCTGCCTTTCGAAATATGTCCATGTTCAAAAGGTTTGTAGCTGTTTAGTAACATTTTGATGCATAATACCAGCTGATATTTTCTTCATTGGTTTTGCTATAGCGCTCTTGCTGAGTTGCAGTATAATCTACTCATCACAGATAAAACTTGTAAAGCTAGAGTAGAAAGAGAGTAAAAGAACTTTAATTATCCATTTAGATATAAAGCTTTGATATAGATAAGATTTAAGTAGTCAAAAACACCTCCTAATTATTATTTCTTAAGAGGCGCGTAAAGCAAAAAAACACAGATAATTTGAGACGGAGAGAGTAATGCATTATTCTGTCTAGAGCTCAATTTGAGCCTATTGGTATTTACTTTTTCTCTATTAACATTGTTTCTTCTTATACATTCAATATGTGAGTCTGTTTATATAGAAATGTGCACAATGCTACAGTGCTACAATGCAGTTTACAATCTTAATTTATGTGTTTGTGCTATAAAGTAAGAAAATCTCGGATTTGGGAAATTTCATCTATTTGAATTTTCCTTATGCCTCCTTGTAGGAGCTATGAACTCATGGAGCGGATTCTCAAAGTTTATGTCTACAAGGAAGGGGAGAAGCCCATTTTTCATCAACCAATAATGAAAGGATTGTATGCATCCGAGGGATGGTTCATGAAACTAATGGAGGGAAATAATAAGTTTGTTGTGAAGGATCCCCGAAAAGCTCATTTGTTCTACCTACCCTTTAGTTCGAGAATGCTGGAGCATTCTCTATACGTTCGTAATTCTCATAATCGAACAAACCTACGCCAATATTTGAAGGACTACTCAGAGAAGATTGCAGCAAAATACCGTTTCTGGAACAGAACTGGCGGGGCTGATCATTTTCTCGCTGCATGCCATGACTGGGTAATGTTTACTGTTTCATCCTCTTTTATTAGCTTCTCATGCATTTTGTGTTATCCACTATGCTTTTATGATTCGATAAATGAGTTTCTAGCGTTTAATATAAATCTTGCTGAGTTGTTGTTGGTAACGTCTGCAATTAGAGTGAACTTCTCAGTTAGTTCTTATTGAAAGATTATCGAAAAGCAGTATATATACTACTTCCGTTTCAATTTGTTTGTCATACTTTCCTTTTTAGTCTTTCAAAAAGAATGTCTCTCCCCTTTTCTGCAACTCTTTAGTTATAACTTTCCATATGGCATGTTAAAGAACATAGGACTAAAGGGTATTCTACATCTCTTTAGTTTAAGACCATAAGATTCAAAAGTTTCTTGACTTTCTTAAACTCCGAGCCAAATTAAAATCAGACAAACAAATTGAAACGGAAGGGAGTATAAAAATCAGTTATGACCGTATGATATGTATCTCAAGTTAATTACCTGACATTTTACCATGCATTCGACATTTGTTCTTATAGTCTTATTTTATCATAGGCTCCATATGAAACGAGGCATCACATGGAACACTGTATCAAGGCCCTGTGCAATGCTGATGTAACCTTAGGCTTCAAAATAGGAAGGGATGTATCCCTTCCGGAAACATATGTTCGTTCTGCCAGAAATCCTCTAAGAGATCTCGGAGGAAAACCACCATCTCAAAGAAAAGTTCTTGCATTCTGTGCTGGGAATATGCACGGATACTTGCGTCCGATCTTGCTCGAGCATTGGAAAGACAAAGATCCCGATATGGAGATATTTGGTCCGATGCCAAGTGGTGTTGCTAGCAAAATGAATTATATCCAGCATATGAAGAGCAGTAAGTTCTGCATCTGTCCAAAGGGCTATGAAGTCAACAGCCCGAGAGTAGTAGAGGCCATATTTTACGAATGTGTGCCAGTGATCATATCGGATAATTTCGTGCCTCCCTTTTTCGGAGTCTTGAATTGGGATACGTTCTCGTTAATCCTAGCTGAGAAGGATATTCCGAACTTGAAAAGTATACTTCTTTCCATACCGGAAAAGAAGTATCTCGATATGCAGATAGCTGTCAGGAAGGTTCAGCGCCATTTCCTTTGGCATGCGAAGCCGGTAAAATACGACTTGTTTCATATGACACTTCATTCTATTTGGTACAATAGAGTTTTTCAAACAAAAGCTAGATGAAAGTTGCTCCAGATGCAAGTCTATTTGGTACAGTTGTTTCCTACTATGATATGCTCAGACTCTTTAAAAATGTCATCAGATGTATGTGTTGGATCCTTCAAAAGTAAGTGCATTTCTAGACGATTTGATACAGGTGCAACAGTATTTTTGAAGAGTTCGAGAATTTCCTAGCACGCCTTCGAAAAATGTTTATGACAAATTTGAGATGAGCTTTGGAGAGGAACTGTTCCCTTGTATATTGTAGTTTGTTTTTTTTTTTTGCATGAAGTTGTACCATAATTGGCTTGTTGGAGAAAAACATGGACTTGAACTTTTGTTCTACTCCCTCTGTCCCCATTTATGTGGCACTTTTCGTTTTTTGAGAGTCAAACAGTTTAAGTTTGACAAGAAATTTGCGTGTGGAATTTTCAATTTCTTTGAAATGAAATTTATATATTTGTAAACTGTGTAAAAAGTACTATAAGTCACAATAATTGGCAATTCAAAATAATTAAAAGATATATAAAAATTACGGTTAAAGATAGACTTGTTTGAATCTCGAAATTCAAAAGGTGTCATATAAATTAGGATGGAGGGAGCATTAAATTTAGGTGATTTTGTTCGTAGTTTTATGTCTTTTTTAGTTTTTTACGAGAGACTTGAAAATTACTTTTGACAAGTTTGGCTACTTTTGAATTTCAGATTACTGGTCCAACTTTGAAAAAGTGACCAACTTCTAAATCCAAAAGTCACCAATTGGTTATTTATGCAAAGTAAGACACTTACAAACATGGCCTTAAGTTCACTATTCACATTTTTAAATGTGAATTGTTTGATGGGGTTAAAATTTAAAGAGTAGCTTAAAAAAGCCCATACAAAGCAAAACATGCATGCAAATCGGCCTAGACTTAACACAGAAAAAGGCTGGGCCCAAGTAAATTTCATAAATAGCTAAGAAATGAAACTTAATAACCCTGTTATCGTTTGTCTAATTACGCTCCATAGTTATAGTTCTATCTGTTATGCTGATGTTTTTTTTGTATATTTCGCTGTGTTTTTAATAAATTAAACAAACTAGGTTTATACAAGTAATATATTATATACAATTATTTGTAGTGTATACAACCTATTAATATAAATAAATAAGTAATTGTATATAAGTGTTGAAATCATACAATTGATCCGTATAAAGTATTGTGGGTGATAATATACCAAAAAACAATATACGACCAAAAATAAAAAAAGTGAATATACAACCAAACACCATAAATGGAAGTTAGTATATACACAAATATGTATAGATATGTATAGTATAATAACAAATTTATTAATACATATACAAATACAGAAATATATAGAAATGGGGTTTATAGAAATACTTGAGATTCTTCATAGCAAATTTCATTAAACTGTAGTCGTGATTCATAATTGTATGAAACTAAAGCTATATTAAATAGTACACTATTTCCTTCTACTTATCACAACAACAAAATGATTGAATTTTAAAGACATTATAAATTTTGACTATGTTTTAATTAGTGTATTTAAAAGTGACTAGTGTCATTTCTACCTATCACAACAACATTACTAAAGTCATGTAGACCCCATAACATAAGTTTGGTGCAATGATCCAAACCAAATTAATAGTATGTGGGCTTGTTTTAGGTAATGAAGCGAAAGGAGAGGACAATGATAGAGATGAACGCACCCGTTATTCATACTGGGGTCTGACTATATCTGAATTCGTATCAAAAAGTTTCTAATTGAAAGGTTAACTTCTCCTTAACAAAGACGGTTCCGTATCCAGCAAGACTAGAACGTGAGACCTTAATTAAAATTTAAAAATAAAGAAGTACTTAAAACTTCACTACAACTCTGGTTGACTTGAACACAATAAGTTGGGGATGAATATAGGGATTCAAAATGGCCCCTCTTATTTAATTTCTTCATAAATTATATTAGAGAAATAGGTAATAGGGGTTATGCATCATGGATATATTGTCAATCGCAAAGCCATTCTTGTCCAATACGAGAGTTAGTTGATATATCATTTCGCTAAAAAATTACATTTTTTTTATAATTAATATATATCTTACACTGAATCTCTTTAACTTCATCGTGTGTATCTTTTTATATATACTGTATTTTATTTTATTTTCTCAGTGAAAATTCTATCTTCGTCTTGTTTTTATGATTTATATATATTTTACACTGAATCTCTTTAACTTCATCGTGTGTGTACTTTTTTATACTATATTTTATTTTATTTTCTCAGTGAAAATTCTATCTTCGTCACAATATCCAACTTGTATCGATACTAAGGTTGGTTATAACATCTTGGTCTATTGACTTATTCCACATGTACAAATCTCTTAACATAATGGCAGTAAAAAATTCTTGTACTATTTTTAAGATAAAAATAATTATAGCTAGCTATATAATTAAAGGGGTGTACGTATAGATGGAATAAAGATTTGAGAGTTATATATATTATTACTCAAATACATTCAATTAATGCTAATAGACTTGAATCTTTGATCTACCGGTCTACCTGCCTGCTGCTTATTTTAATTTAATGCATATCGTACTTTCGAGTAGGGGCGGATTTACAGTATAACAAGTGGATTTTCCATCAAGAGGTGTAATGAGATGAACAAGATTTTATTGTTCAGGTTTTGAGTCTTGAAAATGAAACTTTTTTGGTAAGAAGTGTTTCCTTCTTAAACAAACATTATGTGGAGAAAATTTGGATTAATCGAATCGTAGAGCAGGTATTGATATCGAGTGTTGCAATATTTAAGGGTTCAAATTTACTCTTTGTTTCAATCTTAGTGCATTATGCTTCACACACGTCAAAAATATTGTGTTTAGATGAATCAGATTACATAATAATATGCCTCGGAGTATAATTATCAAATCAAGTAGCTTCGGCTCATACCTTGTCATAGGTGTTAAGAAACACATTAGACATATATAAATAATATGTTCGAATCGCAAAAAAATCAAATAAACTGAATTAAAAAAAATTGAATTCATAAAATTAAAATCTTAAATTCATCTCTCTCGAAGTTGGGAGAGTCAGAAGAACTAGTGACAATATTTATTAAGTGTCACAGCTGTAGGAAGGCTAAATGCAGGGAGTATTGAATGAGAACAACTAAAATGGAGCTGCCATATGTAACCTTATATAATGCAATAAAATTAATAATTCTTTATTCTTAGCTTTAATAAAAGTCTGGAATATGTGTTATGGGCTTATGGCTTCAACAAATACGGCATGTTATCATGCATTTTTTCGGTGAGCTGATTAGGTGGAAAAGAATAAAAAAAATTATGTTTTAAAAAAAAATAGATGATTACGTTGGAAAAACATGTGATCTAATAAAGTAATAGTGTTTGTGCAGATCAGGAGAGTCTGGGAGCAATGATAAAATTATTTTTATGTGATCTATATGACATGAGTTTGAGTAGTAGTAGTCATTAATATATGCATTAAAATAGAATGTCTAGTATACATGTTATTCTCCAAACTCTGCTAACGTGAGATTTTTGGTACACCAAACTGCAGAAATAGAAAAATCTTGTGATCTAATAGTGTTTGTGCAAATAAGGAGAGTCTTGGAGCAGCGATAATGTTATTTTTATGTGGTCTATGACATGAGTTCAAGTCGTAGAAATAGTCATTAATGTGCATTAAGATAGAATATCTCTTCTTCAAACTCGATTAACACGAAATTTTTTGTACACCAAACTGCATAGATAGAAAAACCTTGAGGATAACTTGATAAGCCAGCTAGTTTGCATTGTCAATTTCCATTGTATTTAAATTATATATCCTTGATTTTGTGGGTCCCTAAATGGATTTTTTGAACTTCCTTTATATGGGATACGTAAAATTTTCATTTATTTTTAAAAAATTATTTGACGTATAAATTATTCCCCCTTGGTACCATATTTATTTATTAAGATTTTACACACTTTAAAAAAACATTTAATCATCAAATTACTTATGCATCATTATCATTTACCATAACTATTAAGCATCACTGTCAATTACGACTGTCAATCACTACCAACAGCCATCATCGCCAGTATCTACGGCTCACAACGACATCATCAACTAACACCATCTCCAATCAACATGTACCACAACTACCATCACTAGCTATCATCACCACTATCAACCATCATTATTTTAACGTTTTACGTAACAACAAGTGTTATACATTCAATTATTATAGGTATGATAGAATCCTCTTTTCGAATAGGAATTGATTCGATTTCACTATTAGAATATTCAGATTCAACTCTTAATATATTGTTTTCAAGAATTAAGAAAACATATACGAGTATATATATATGAAAAATTACCTTAGTCATTGAAGCTTATGTGTTTTCCCTTTCAAGTAGTACACTGGCCATCAATTACTTATTAGTAACTTCATTTTCAACTTTCATATAATTAGTACAAATCAATATTACATATAAGAAGAGTACTAGTAATTAAAACTTGCTTTAAATGACTAAACATGAGCTACTTTAGTGAATAGGCATTCATAATCATGATTAAATAATAAGACAACGTTTATTGTCATTGAAATGGTTGGAAATCAATAATTCATATGCAATACATTTGAAATGTCTTTTTCTAATAATACTTTACGTCCACTCTTATAATTTTAATATGTACACCATATGTTTAAGCATGAAGAGAATATAATTTCTTAATAATTAGGGTGATTTAGGTTTAAAAGATTTACACTTAAGTTGTAAAGTCTTAAAAAATACAAAATAATTGACTATAGATTCTGAAGGAACAGGAGTTACCTCAACCACAAAGTCCTGAAATATTGGAAATCATTTTTATCTCCAAAGTCTTAAAAAATTGGATGAATGAAAGGAGACCCCAAAAGATGAAATTAAAACTTTCTTTAAATGACTAAACATGAAATATTATTTAGTGAATGAACATACATGAGCATAATAAAATACTAACTACAAAGTTTATATTCGTTGAACTTGTTGGAACATGTGTAATATACTTTTGTGTACTTCTTTGGAAAAAAATATATTCTCTTCCCCATTTTCTTAGTCAATATTTCCAAATTAAATGTGATTATTAATTTCAATGAAAAAATTAATCCTATATTAAGATATAAAAAAACTATTTTTTTGTTATTAAAAAAGGCATTTTAAATCATTTATTTTAATGTTAATTCTTTTTTTAGTAAAAACCAAGTGCAACTTTTTGAAA